GTTCTCTTCTCAACTGCTCAGCTCAGCTGCTTGTGAAACCTAACCTCTAACTGAAAAAAACTTCCAATATTTTGCCAAAGGCATTCTTCTAAACCCAACCCTAAGCAGAGCTGATTTCTACTGAGGATAAAGGCATCCACACCCCTAGTCAGTCCACATGAACCAGGCAAGGTTTGAATGTTTATTCCAGATCTATGTCTCTTGCCATCTCAGAAGGGAGACGCTAATCAAGTTAGCAGGGAAGGGAAGGGAGCACAACACTGGGAATCCTTGAGTAGCAAGAGCAGTATCAGTCTTGGTCTTTTTCCTGTTTTCCATTTTGGATGCCTTTGGTTTGTTCTACTGCATCCGACATTTTTAAACAGATGCCAGTATCAAGAGCATTAGACTGATCTGCTGGAAACCAAAATAAATGCTATTCTTCAACTACTTTAAATTAAATAAAATACTTGCTCTGCTTTAGGAAATCGTTTCCCTATAAGTTTACATGTATTTTTGGCTGCTATGAATCCATGTCCTCCAGATCCTTGATCCTTGTGTGCAAAGGAAAGTTAGCCCTAGGGCTAAGTTTCTTTGGGTTTTGGAGACTGGATAGTGAGTGAAATTTGCCAACCCTTCATATACAGGCAGTCAAATTGTTCTTTCTGGCCTCAAACTGTATGGGCATTCAGTTCTAACTTCAGTTACACCAGTTTTGTTATAGTATAATATCACTGGCTTGGGTCCTTATTTAAACTTGTTCACACAAAATCAGATTAATACCTGTCACTTCTTACTGAAGTAATACCGCAAATCCTCCTAACTTCCAACAGCTATAGAGATAGAAGCTGAGGAACACGGTTTCTCTTTAAAAAAAAGAGGTAAAAGACCAATTTAACTGAAAACCTAAAAATTTACTAGCATCAGATAAACTGAATGAACCACTATAAAAAAACTGAGCTTTACTCAGAAATCCCAGGAGTTACCTAACAGCACATATTTTCTGACCATTTGGCTCCTCGACTCAGACAAATATAAACATTTCTTAAGAAAAATACTGCTATTGCCCTGAACCTTTGTATTTCCTGTGCATTGGGGATTTTTGTTTTGAGACTTAATGGTTCAAAGAATCATAGAATCACTTAGGTTGGAAAAGACGGATAAGATCACTGAGACACTACTAAGACCACCACTAAACCATGACTCTAAGCGCTGCATCTAAGTAGAATCATAGAATCGTTTAGATTGGAAAAGACCGTGTTCGTGTGTGCCAGGGCAGAGGAATATCATATTGATTACATATGGGTATCCTGATAGCTGGACCACTTCTTACTCTGAAGTCAGTTTGTTTGCAGCTGGCATGAAGATGTCTGTGCACTTTGGCACAGCTTATGGGCAATTCCTCTCACCTCCATTTAGACCAGCCTGCAGGAGCTGTCCCCACCTAAGCCAGTCATCTGACCCCTTTGTAGACAATAGAAACAGTCACTTCTAGCACTTAATTCACATGGTCTGTTTTATAGACCTGCCTTCCAGATAAGGTGAGTTGCACTCCACAAATGCGTCTTGCTTTCTCTGTACCACCACAGGCATCTCAAATGATTACCTAAGTGCCTACATTGTAGGCTGTCTAAAGTTATTCTTTCTGCTGTAAGCATGATAAAAATGCTTTTCCTGGGCAGCACAGTCCCTGGCCCAAATTCAGTAGCACACACAAGTCTGTGTGACAGTCTCCAGCAAAAATCACACACTAGCAAAAATAAAGATGGGTGCGTGAGTGTGATGCACACTGAACACAAGTAGTAACAATAGATTATTTGAACTCATCTGGTAATTTGTAGACCCTAGAGTATTCTTCCAGGCCAGTTTCACACCAGCATAACTCTTTCAGATTACTCCTGATTTATTATATTAATTGAGAAGAAAATTAGATCCTGGCTGTGCAAAATACATGTCCACTATATGCCATAGGAGCTGTGACTACAGCAAAAACCCAAAAAGTAGGCAAGATACAGGCAAACTTCAGTCCTGAGAAACACATATTGGTATTCAGAACTGCATAGATAACTGTGGCACAATAAGCTAGGCAGACCACAACAGATTTTAAAACATCTGAGCTAGATGTATCTTCTGAGGAGACAGACAGGGTTGTGGTCAGGGAATCTGGCTGAGATTGGGAGGCTTGAATCCCTCCTAACGGCTGTTCCTCAGATTCAGTATGACTGTCAACTAGTGATGCAATCTCTGTTTCACACCCCCCACCTGTACAACGGGCCAAGTTGCAGCAAGGCACACTGATACGTTCAGTCATTACGAGGCCTCAAAGGACTGGCAGTTGCCATTAGGTAGGCACTCCATTATTAAACATTATTACGCATGTAACCTAAACCCAAGGATTCATGCAAAGCATTTCCCAATAGTGGTTATGACAAGAGTAAATCAACTAAGTTACAGCATTAGAAACCATGGGAGGCCACGGCCTCCTGCTCTGCTGTTTCACAGTCCTTCATGCGATTTATAGCTGGGGGTAGCAGGGGAAGGCTGAGTCTGTGCTGGCCCCCACAATCCACACCATGGGGGAGGCAGCGCGAGGATGAGCAAACATAACTCAGCCAGCTTTGGGGATAGCACAGGAATTTAATGGACTTAAAAGACTTCAGTTCAATTTAAGGAACAGACAGGCTGAAGATCATAGTGCTGCTCTGGGGAAGGCAGAAATACAGTATGGTTAATTTGAAACTAACTGAACAGTGAAGTTTAAGAACTCTTAATACTTG